TTGCATTTGGAAGGGATAACTTACAGACCTCACCCATTCAGCCCACTTTCTTGAGGTTATGTTGCGAGCGATTTCGGTCGCATTGTCGACAAAGGCAGGGTCGCCAAGCCATGTTCGAGCCGCATACCTATTGAAATTCATTCTCACTCTGTCTTATACGTTTGGGCGGAGATTTGTCTTACGCGAATTTCGAAGACTCAATGAAGCGATGATAGAACTGAGCTATGTCCTCGGATGATTTCATTTCGTTTTTATACCTGAACTTGGTCTGTTAGCGATAACGTGAGATCCACTACAAAGTATTCCTCGTAAATCATGATCAGGCACCCGTCCATGATATTCAAAATGGCTTGCGCCACAGCTGAGCCAGATGGTGGGGGTGGGCCACAGATCATTCGGTTGTTGCTAAGCGTTGTATAGATGACTCCTGAGTGTGGAACCACTATCGAACGGTATTTAGAGAAGTCGTCTTCGGTGAGAATTCCACCTGAATTTATCAGTTGTAGCGGGAAAGTGGCAAAAGAGCAATGGCCTTACCGTATTGCTTGAACTCTCTGGCCATTTCGCGAGCCATTTCTCCGTGATAGAACTCTCGAATGGGATCAGAGGAGTTTGCGAGGTGACGGAGCGTCCGCAAAAGAGATGTCCTTAAATTGACTGAAACCTACTTTTCACTTGGCTTGAGTTAATGGGAGGCATATGGGTTTCAACGCAGCTGTTTTGAAAAACTTGAAAGGAAGCGAGAAACAGCTGTGCTATTTATCTACTGATTACCTGGTCCTTATTTGATCCCCGGCACGGTAAACGTTTCCCGTCTTTGGATTCAAGAAGTCCTTCATCGTTGGTTCCTTTACGATAGTGTGCGACCGTCGCTCCAGCGCCATTGCAAGGGCATGCGATGTGGGGAAACCTGCACTGAATGTGGTACGGGAGTGCTCCGCTAGTTGTTGGAGACCTACCTTCTTCAAGCAGTTCTATCGTTGGCTGAATAAGATCGCTCCATGAGACCTTCCTGCTACCAAACTTTTCAAACTCTGTCCATAATCCATGCAATTCGCCTGGAACTGCAACGGCTCGCCAACCTGAAGAAGGAGCACTCAAGCAGCTTTCGCACTGTGCTGATCACAGTACTTAAAGTACTTTCAAGCTTCAGCCGAATTACGGAAACAAAAATATTGGCCACTTTCGAGCTTTGTCCTATGCAAGATCGATATTGCTGGAAAAATACAAAAATACAGTGAGTAATAATCTCTGCAAACGACTTGAAAGGCCTATCTAATTCCCAGCTAGGTCCACCTAAGTTATCTACGTCCTCAAACATTCAACCAGTGCCATAGTTGAAAGAGAAAAGCATGGAAGCGAAACCTTTGAGATGAAATTATTGTAGTAAATATAATCTACTCCTCAAAAGTCACTGCAAGCACTATTATACATTGCGATCCCCTGCTGCGGCGCTGAATGCAATATAAACACTTATTTCACTTAGAAGGGTTTATTGTCGGACATTTTAACGGTTTTATCCTCTCAGTCGGTTACCATCGACACAAAGAATATCAGGAAGATCCTCAGGAATACCTGAAAAACAGTACCTACCTACGCGACTTTCATTCCATCGGTTCTCATACATCTCCTCTGTGGCAGCATTCGGGGCGACTTCTCTTGCATCAATAACAGTACACTGCTGGGTAGTCCTAAATAACAAAGTTTTGTCGCTCCCGAGAGAAATATATGGTGGAGTTTGGGAAACTAACGCGTTGTAGATGGTCATAAAATGGCCTCCGCCTAGTCCTGCCGAGTGGCTGTCCATTACTCCGATGCAGAACAGTGCCGCGATTGCCGCATCGACAGCATTGCCGCCTTGCAGTAGAATATTTCTGAAAATAAAAGGCCTCATAGAGAGTGGTAATCGCTTATGCGACATGACTAGTATTAAATTAATGGATAAAACAAACACAAATGGTTCGGTATTGCGACTACTAAACAAGCATGCAAGGCATACACATTGAGTTATTTACTCTCACCCAGGACGAAGGCTAGCAACAACATAATTTTGGATAATAAGATTATGACGGGAAATGGAAGATAAGATAGAGAATAGTGCGTGTAGGCAAAGAAACTGCGTGAATCTAGTTTTCCAAAATGAGAAAATGCTTCGAAAAATCGTTAAAAAGGGGGTTGGACGAGAATGTGACCAGAAAAACGAAGAAGATTGGGGCGTCTAGACGAGCTATGCAATGTGGTTCTTGCATACGTGTGGGTCCTGGTGCGAATAGCTGCTGATTACGGTGAGCGAACATTCATTCACTCAAAAGCATAAGTTAGTAAAAAAAAACCCTAGTAATGGCAAAAATAGCCTACCTTTTTCAGAATCATGAGGTAGAAAACTAGAGTAAGGATCGCAGCAGCAAAGAGAACAACAGAGAATAATGGAATAGGGGAAAACATCGAATCATTACTCGGCGACCAGCTGATTTTGTGGGGGCCGTAGAACGAATATTGCAATCTGAATCACCTTGACACTGTTCATCACATCTCGTGACGTCTCCCAGAAACGTTCCGCTTTATACCGAAGTATGCGAGTGTAGATTGGTACTTTGCGGCAAAACCGTCGCTTCAAAGCTACGAAGCTAGGCTGGTCAACGTCATCAGAAACATTTACAAGGGATGAAAGGTTCTGGCACTAGTAGAAGGCTTAATTTCAAAACGGTAGCCGCATTGATCTATAGGTAACCGTATATGCTCATGATGACACCTTTGCGACAAAGTATTAGGGTGTCAGGAAAATGTTGAGAAAATTCGGCCTTTCAACGAGAGCATGCTGCTCTCAAACGCTAAAGCAAGACTATATGACTTCCGAGTTCGGTGTTCTTGAAACATGAGCATTTTACATAATGTTTAATACTGCTTTGCCGTACAGATTTGTTATGGTTGAACCGCTTTATTGGTCAACGTTTCGTCTGAATCGTCGTCTTCAGAACTTGAAGATAGTT